AAGCTCCTCGTGTTTTGCTTCCTCCTACATTCAGGGTACCTCACAGTCTGCATGAACAGTCAAGTCATGCTGCATGTGATGTGGTCCCAGCATAGGAGGTAGGCTGTGAGATATTCACAGACTGGACAAGGTATTTTTTCGTAAAGATTAAAGCAAACAGGTGTCCCCAGTGAATGATCTGGTCACCTTAAATGAACAAATGATTTGGACATTGCTGATGATTTATGCCTTTATGCAAAGGCAGTATCTTTATGACAGATATTCTGCCCTCCAGATTAATTAATTGCCTTGTAGGGAGGCACAGCCTTCCAAGTGGCAAACTTGTCACTTCAGTCTGTTCAGTGTCAGTTACTTCATTTTAAAAAAAAAAAAAAAAAAAAAGAAAACACTGGCAAGAATGGTCTGTTGCTTTCTACAGTGTGCTGTGGCAGGTGAATTATTGTTGAGCAGCTACATTCATACCACAAGTATCATATGCATACCCTCCTACCCCTTCCCCTGGCTGCCAATGCAAGGCAGACTAGATTAGTTAATTACCTCTTTCCTCCTTAATGATGGAATACTTGGAAAACTCTTATTGATCCTACAGAACATAATTCATGACCTAATTACAGTGATAAAACTGCAGGATTACCATCTTGCCAGCTATTAACTTCTAGCACTGATCTGAGTTAATTAGAAAAGAGATAGATGATTTCTACGTTCTGGATTTGCAACATAACAGCAAGATGAATGAGGAAGGCCGTTAAAAGTATGCCAAGCAATTTCTAGCCCTCAATCTACTCTCAGCTGTCAATCTACCACTGATCCTGCCCAGGAAATACCAGACACATTTAACACTTTAGCTTCATTTCTTCAGCCATTTGAGTAATTTGCTCAGTGGGACAACTGTATTTGATACTGTCTATTTTGCAGAGGTTCAAGTGTGGAGCATGGGCCGCCTTTTATTTATCTTTTACAGAATTGAGGAGATTGATCTAAGTTCTTGTTTTGGACCAAGTCTTCAGTCACTCTCAGTCTGGACAGAAAACAACCAACCAACAACAACAAAAAAATCAAGATGATCCTTGATTTCCAGAATTAAACTCACCCTCCCCTTAACTGCAATGATGGGTTGTGGCTGAGCAAAGAAAGAAAAGCCTCTTCCCTCACCAGCCCTTCACTGTGCTTTTCCTGAAAAGGATGCAGCCCCACCTAAGAACCAAGCTTTGATTTCCTTCATGGCTGCTCAGAGGACTACCTGTTAGGGCCACGCAGTAAATCTAGAAGATGAGAAACTAGGAGTTTTCTACCCTACTCAGGGCTCATCTACACAGGAAGCTAGTCAGCAGCAAAATAGGATGTGCATTTATAACGTAGTAGCTATGCCACATGAACTTCCTGCATGTCCACTGTAACGTGCACAGTGTCTTAGTTCGGCTTCCTAACTGAAGTAAGCTCCCGTGCACAGACGCAATTTTAGTGCTCATTAGAAATGCCCACACGAGTTATGACATAGCTACTGTGATGCACACTTGTCTTCCCCACATAGGTAATCTGTTTGGTTTTAGTGTTATGACTGTTATCCTCAAGATGAGGGTGTAATTTCTTGGCTTTCTGCCACCCAGACAAGTCTTTAGCAGTTGAGACTATAAACACTAAGACAATGGGCTGGTCAAGGAAATACAGCTTTGAAGTTGGGCAAGAGTGACCAAACTGAGATTTCTAGTAATACCAGGAATTTAAGTTGCTACAGTCATATGAACATAGAAGAAAGTCCAACAGTGGCTAGAAGCTAGCAAGCATTAGGGGTTAGCGTGGTGTGGAGCAGACCTTATTTTCTCATGTTGCAGCATGAGTTCAACAAACCACACCAACCTCTCACTTTAGATGCAGATACCAAAGAAACCTCCTGTTGGTGAGAGTTAGACAGTTAATTCTGTGGGTACCACTGCTGTTGAGGTTGCTGCTGACTTGCCCTGAAGCAGCCTGCCAATGCACACACACCATGCACAATTACTCGGCATAATAGGGCTATGAGGTAAGCATGAGTCCACATCAACGAACCCGGTACGTCTCTGATGTAAGGCACCAATCCAAGTGCTCCCGATTTCACCTTGCCATCAAAAATGCGCAGCTATCCCCATGCAATTCAGCTTTGTCAAGTGCATGACTGCTTTAAGGGAAGTATGACACAAGAGGAGAAAGACCGATGCAGTCTCATAGCACAGCTGGCACTGGCAAAGCAGGAAAGCTCACCCTATGTAAGCGCACACTCTAGTTAATCATTCAGATCCTGGCTGACACTAGGAAGCTTCAAGCTGGGAGAGATATCTGTTGTAGGAGACTCTTAGCACAAAAGAATCTCGAAGCTCGCAATAGAAGTTGGTGGGAATTGAATAGTTTGCACGTAAGGAATCTTCCATATCTTCAAAAGTATTTGATTCATGGGCAAACAAGGCTCAAAATACCTTTGTGAGATAGTATCTCCCCTGTAATTTGCTACCACCCAGTTTAAATGGTGGCACAGAGTTCTCACACTGTTTGTTCCAGACCATGTACAGCTCCACACTTCTGCACCCGTATTCTGAACGATGAGACAATACTGCCTTGGAACACACTGCCAGTAATACACACTTGAAAGAGAAGCACAAGAAGTTGGCAACATCTTTGAAAACCTTTAAGGTACTGGGTTTCCCAGAAGAGAAAGCAATGGGTAAGAAATGGAAAAAGAAAAGTTTACTTCTACTTTAGAAGTTGCTGAACTGGGAAGCACTTTGTTATGTAACTTTCTGAAGTATTTCCGCTGTTACAGGGGGAGCCTATTCACAAATGCTGTGGGTGATCTGTTCCCAGCAAGAGAGATTTTGATGACCTATAACTCATCAGAAGGAGGTTTTCATATTCTGTGAGCTATTGTGTTGGACGGTCCATGACGAATCAGTTTCCTGCATTCATTTGTCTGTCTCTTCCACGACATCCTCTCTAAAATTTTACTGCTTTATTGCTTACAAACACCTCCTCCCCACGCAGTTCCTGCTGGGAAAGGCAGTTTACCATTTCTCTGAGGTTTTAATGAGAAACGTGTCAGCTGAGCATGCAGAACTTATAGCACCTCTAATATTTTTGCGGAAAATGCATCATCTTGCTAAGAAAAAAGCATGAAGATGCCTCAGAGAATCATACAATTTTGTTGTTCAAAAAGAAATCTCTAGTCAGGAAACTACCACCACATAAAGGCACATGCACTCAAATAACTGGATCAAAATTAGGTAAATATTACTAACTTCTCTGCTAAAACATTAACCAAAAGAAAAAAGAAAACCAGATGAGAGAATGAGGTCTGAGAGCAGGGCAAGAAAAGGTACTATTTTACTTGAAGCAATTTGTCCAGCTTTTCTCTATTTTTTTAAAAACAAGAAAACCAAGAAAACTCAGTTCCTGAGAGAAGTGGGTTGATCAGGTGACCCTAGTATTTTACAAGCAAATGCACGGAACTAAATTCAAAGAAGCAGTGAGTAAGAAACCTAAGATACCATCTTTGAAGTAACTGTGCAATGGCCATTAAAAATTAGCTAGAGCTAGATTACACTACTGTCTTAAGGTTAAACATTACTCAAGGTTAAAATTATTCTTGAAATTATATTCTTGACCCAAGTCAGAGCTGCACAAAAACAATTAAAAAGCCACATGGTTATCAGAAGCCACGTAAAGCATGGTCAATTTAAATATGGTACATGAGTCCAATGCATTTCAGTGCTTTTTTGCTCAGCAGTTGCTGCTCTGTTGCTATCTGGACCATCACGTAAGTCTGACAAAAGTTCCACCCTTCCTAGCTATCCAGGAACTGTGCATCACAGTCTAGTGAGCTCACTGCCACATCAGCAGGATGATGGAGAATGTTTCCTAGAACCCAAAACAAAGGTACCTGTGTTAATAGTTACTAATAAAAGTTTACTTCAAGGCAGGAGGAGCATGAGAACAGGAATAAAAAAAAAAAAAATCTGATTAACTAAAGTACTTGTTCTATGAGAAATTTTTTAAAGGGTAAATTATTTGAATTTTGCTCAAAGCAAGGTCCCAAAGAGGTGACCTGGGACAACTTGTCTTCAGACACAAAACCTGTCAACTAAGTTTCCAAGTAAGGCTCAACAGGTGAAAAGAAAGAAGATAAAATCTCACGCGTGAGTAAAGCTATCTGTATGTATCAGAGTCTGAGATTTAAAAAAAAAAAGGTGTTATTAACATTAAACTAATAATCATTCATATTTTATGCAATTCATTTTTCCAAAAAGCATCTCCAAAAACATCCAGTGAAGACTGGCAGAATGTGATACCCATTTTATCCACAGGGAAGCAAGAGGAAAAGAAAACGTCTTGTCAGAGTTCTCACCATATCTGCAATGGGACCCCACAGTCGCAGAGCACAGACCACCTGGATTCAACCAGTAGGCACCACACATTTAAACATACGGTATCACTGATGAAAAATACACTAGTTTTTGAGAATCACTTTGAATCTAACAAGTACAAAGGAAAGAGCCTATTCAGGAAGAGAGGGGAAACAAATCTCAGATGAGGACAAGAAATCAACAGCCTAAGGAAGAAGAGGGAAACTGCAACTGACTGGCATTGATCTTAGTATTCAGGCTACCTTACACCTGATCACCAGAGAACTGGAAAGGGTCAGAAGCTTTTGATGTGGTCTGTGGTCACATGAAAAATATCCACTGTGCTCAACAGAGAAATCCTGTATGCAGCTAATAAAGGATCAAGCAGGTCTAGAAGAGTTTTTTCTAACAAAAGTATTTTAGAACCAAGTTTGCCTAGCATACTTTAGTAAATTAAAAAGCTGAATGACTGACTGAGAATTTGGACTCAACCAAAAGGAATCCAAAAACCATTAGACAGCTAGCTGACCTAGTGAAATTACAGGCACATTTTTCCAAGATAACAGAGTAAAGTTGTAAAGAATCATATACACACACATTCAAACAAAGGAAAACATGATTTTTACTTACATTTCAGTGGCTATGAATCCGGTGAGCTCAGACAGGAAGAGAAACAGTATGAAGAGACAGCAGCAAACAGAGACTGGAAAAGAGGCAAGGAGAGGAAAAGGTTAGCTTTATATCTCTAACAAAGACAAACTGTTTTCACACAGGCATATTATTCCCCCCATGGATATGCCACCCACACATGAGAACTAACACTCTTTAGAGACAATGACCCAGACAAGGCCATCAGAGCAGTGACTTCAATGGCATGACAATACCCAACATCCTGCTGGGTATCCTAATTCTTGGGCCACCTTTTCCATCATGATTTCCATTTTCCCATGGCTCCTGCGTTCTCCATCTCCAGCACACAATGTTGGCCTGCCAGCTCTCCCTCCTTCTTGACAAAGCTGCTTGACAATATGATTTCTTTGGAGCCCTTGCTCCAAATGTAAGTTTATTGCTACTAAAACCTCCAGAAAGAAAAAAGAATCAATGCCTCCTTGCTTCAAAAGCATACAGTCAGCTATGCGGTGTTCTATGGATTAGGAGACATTTTGGTTCTTTGTCAAGTTCTAAGGCTACGTGTAAGTCATCTCACAGCCTACATTACCCACTAGATAGAGCTCATACAGCAGAAACATGGCAATAATGGACTGGGCTAGCCAATACCCGATAGTTCTCTAGTTTCTCCATTTGCCTTCACAGAGGGAAAATTCCCAGTGAAGGAAACACAAAGTACCTGGACAAGAAGTCCCATGTCTTTCCTAACAATGCCAACCTAGAGTTAAAAGGAGGGATCCCAAAGTAACTGGCATATTACTGGTTACTCTTCATCGGGAAACTGTTCAAAACATTGTACAGTGACATTCATGCAGCAGTGACACAGTCATTGACCCACACAGGAGGGGCTGGAAGGAAGGACAGCTGTAAATCCTATTGAGCAGGGATGATTGGAGTAGACAAGGATGTGCCAGCTCAAGGAGACAGGGCTGCAATGCGTATTTGTATTAAATAAAATACCCAAGTTCACCATGAATCACTGCACGAAAGAGTAAACCAGGAAATGGCATGCTATTCCAGGGCTGTGACAACAGGAGTACAATCTGGCTCACCCCTCAATCCCAGCAGAGTTACAATGACCAAGCACCTTTGGAAATGACCCCTTTACCATAGCCACTAATTAGGATTGAGAAATACATAAGAAAAACCCTGTTCCTAAACTTTATTCCACATGACCTATACTGCCTGAATATCCATTCCTTTGGAAAGCTCAAGCAACAACTGGCTGGGGAGCAATTTTATCATACAATTGTGCCTGTCCAAACTCCCTTGGTAGAGAATGTGAGAGGGAAGGGAAGGAAAGAGGAGGTACTTAAGGCAAATACCGAGACAGACCCTGGAGTGATCTAAAGCCTTGTGCCTCATTCTTCAGATTAGCCAGTTTATAGTTCCAAGGAAAGAGTAATGCGTTGCTTCCCCTTACTCATCAGAGTCATTTCAAGGGTGGGTTAATTTACTGACCCTCTGAAAAGTGCAAGGGATTAAAACAGATGCCAAAAAATCCGTTGGCTAGGGTGAAGAAAGACAGAAAAGGGAAAAACAAAGTCAAAGACCAGTAGGAAAATGGGAAGCAAGAGGAGGTTTAATTTCTAGAGAAACCTCAGATGGTCACACAGTTGCTTCCAAGTCTTGGCTGTCAAGACACAGAACACCACTGCTGTAACCCAGCTAAGCCACTGGCATAGTGCACCATGCAGCGCAGGGGAGGAGAAAGGTCTACTTAAAGCACAGCAGCAAATTCTTGTAAGAACATATACACCTACATAAGAGCACAAAAAAAGCAATGTAGGCACAAGACTGGTTGATCCAGTGTTTCTTACTGTTAATCACTGAACAGCAGAGACACAAGATCTCTGATCTTTGGCAGTATGCAGGGGAGAGTGTTTAACATAAAGACAACCCTTTGTTCTTTAATTGCTTCCCATATTCCTCTCTGCTTGTTATCATCCTGTAAAGGCTTTCCACAGCATCAGCTAGATCCCTCTGCTCTCCAGCACTTCTATGCAAGCCTGGTACTACTAACTGTAAATCCTCTCCCAGAGCGTTCCCTCTCTCTTCCAATTTTTTAACTTTCTGCTCTGCTATTTCCATCATCAAACTATCTTCTCCTTTTCCAGTATACAAAGTACTTGGTCCCTCAAGTTCATCCTCCAATGCAGCTCTTGCAGTGAAGGCTTGTAACAAGACTTACCAAATACAGTACAGCAAAATTCCACTAACCTATATCTTAAAAATCCTGTAAGAATGCCCTGAAACACCTGGCAGGGACTGACTTTCAAAGCTCCTCAATGCTTTTGCCAGTCTTCAAACTACATAGTCAGTTTTCAACCTGTAAAAGAAATTACTGAGGGTGGACATAAAAGGGTATATAAGATCATGAGCAGCCTGAAGGAGATGAATGGGGAACAACCACTCACTGTCTCTTCCAGTATGGGAACAGGAGGGAAGGGGGAGGTTAAAAACAAAAGGAGGTTTTCCTTTACATAACACCTAACTAAATTCTGAAAAATCTTGACTATGGATGTTGGGGATGCTTAAGAAAAACGTGTATAAGATTTCAAAAAGGAATCAGACATGCCCTGAAGAAGAAATCCACTGAGGGCTACTAAACACAAATGAACCACCTCTAGCTCAAGAAGTTCAGAACTGCCAACTGACTGAAGCCTGGTGACGTGTTTAACCTGTCCTCATGCTCCTTCTCAGGCATCTGCTGCTGACCACTCCTGGCAAGAGGATACTAGGCTACACGGACATTTGCACTGACCTAGCTAGCATGGCCGCTCTTGTGTTAAACTCTTCTTGTACACACACATTTTCAGGGCAGGGGGGTGTCTTTGGCATGAGACTTACGCGAAAGTCTTATGTGTTAAACTGTCTCTTCAGACAATGTTTTTTCAGACACAGAATGTGAGCTCCTCTCCTTAGCGTGGAGGGCAGGCATATACGATGTTCCCAGCATAAGAATTTACGCACACAGTGCTTCAGCTACTTATTTCATAGTGCATTTCATTGCTTCCATGCAAATGTGCAGTTCCTGCCACCCACATTTGACAACTGTATTGTATTTGGGAAAGTAGATTAAAGGCTAGGATCAGACAGAATAAAACAATTAATGCATAAAGCTTAGCTTAACTGCAAGAGCACAGCACTGTTCCCACAGAGCTTGAAGGACCATCTAAGATGGGTTTCTTAAAACTCTAATATCATAGCACGATCAATAGATCAAAGGTTGCTGGTGTTAGACACAATGGAACACACTGCTGCTGGCTAATCAGTAATCCCAAAAGGATGGGAAATTCTCCCAAGTTTTTTTTCCTATACTAGCTTTGACAACCTAACCTTTTTGTACATATCCCTTCTGATACATACACCATCTATGTGCATTCTTGACTCTTCCTCCCCACCCCACAAGAAATGAAAGAAACGCAAAGTGTTTAACACATCATACAGACTGAGAACGTGGATCCATGTCTATATTAAGGCATAAAATTAATAGTATTTATTGTTCAATGGAGCAAACTGCTATGAAGTGCAAGGAATGGGTCTTGTTACAGATGCCATGTGAATCATAACTTTGATATTTCCTGATGTGTATTTAAAACTCCAGCCTCCAAACAGCATAGAGTATTTCTGGATAACATTACCATGTGTGCATACAACATGTGCATGCAAACTATGCATGCACACTGACTGTTAAATAGCACGATTGCTACAGCAGCTGTCTGAGTTGCAGGCCCTTCTCTCAAGAAGTCCGACTGCTCCTCTCCAGCCAGATGCCAACTGTCAGCCAGCCAGGGCACGTGCTGCTGCTGCCTACATATCCAAACATGGCCAAGTTGTCACCACATTAGTCAGGTCTGTTAGAATGGCCATGTGCTGACATCACAGACATGCTACACAGAGGTGGGAAGGCCTGCAAACACTGGCACAAGCATCTGGTGGAAGACGGACAACAATGATGTGACTGGCTGAGTGGCACAGGGATCGCAATGCTGCCTGAAAGAAGAGATTTTTATTGAGAAAAACAAATGAGTAACTTCTGCACACTTTTCAGAGAAGTCCACAGCAGTGGGTGTGTTGTTCTATACAAATCTCACTCCACTAAATTGCAGTGGACTGTTCTCAGTTCCTTCATTTCTACTGATTTTTGATAGCTGGAAGGGTTGCTACACAGATTTGAAATATCTTGTATGCCGCATTCACTGCAACTTTTGAAACTACAAACCCATACATAACAGAAAGACTCGATAACCCTCCAGTTAGCTTCTGAACTTGTCTGTGTTTGAGGTCGCATGCTCTTCTCCACAAAAATACCCTAATGCTTACTCTCCCTGAGCTGCTTCTTTCCTAGAGGAGTTGGCCACTTTAGCCCTGGTGGTTAGAAGCAGAGCTGGTACCTTCCATCTCTTTTCTTCTGTAATCTGATCTATTCCTTCTTCCTTAATAAACATCAAACTTTTCAAAAAAAGGCCTTTTTACAATCCAGAAACAACCGTAGGAATCCTGCAGTAAAACCATTCCTATTCCAGAAAGCCTTCAGCACCAGAAGTGATACTGAACTAAAGTTTCAGCAGAAATCATGTGGGAAGGGCCTAAATTAATAGTTGGCTACTGCGGGCTATTTTATATCTGCTCTGTAAACCTCGGAAGACTTAAAGAAAGCCGAAATACAGTAGCAGCCATAGTTGTTTCACATATTTACTAGACCCTAAAAGATTTTTTTACGAGGCAGAACCTTCCCCTACCCCCAAGCCCCTAATGTTATTACAAGCTGACTTCCCTAAAGCATTTATCACAAAATCATGCAGCCTTCCCAGGCTTCAAACTGGCATGGTAATGGGCTGGTCTCATTCATGGCCTCCTACAACACGCAAGATTACTGGCTTTCAAATTACAAGTCACAGGCTTGGTCAGACAGAAAGCCCATTAGGAAAGCTGCACAGAAGATCCTCACATGCAAAGCCACCACAGTTTGTTGGTTGACTGTGTGGTTCAAAAGCTTATATCAGCCTGTCTAAAAACACTCTGACAAAAAGAAGGAGAACCAGTTAGAGAAGAAAATCAAAGCCTGAGAAGCTGCAAATAACAATAGAGAGAAATGTCAGCTAATAATTTTAAGTAAGAGTCACAGCCTTCAAGCCTTCCCACAACAGACTTATCACTTGAGCTGTTTACTGCAGATCAGAAAGCCTAACACTGGATGGCCTTTGATGGTTTTTTTTTGTTTCTAAAACATACTCTTTTGCAGGTGATTCATAACAAGACAAACTCTCAAAGGGAGCCCAGTTATACTGTGGGAACTCTTAGTTTCCAAAACAGAAGAGAAGGCAGGATCACTAACAAGTTCAAAGTGTTCTTTCAAAACACTACATCTCATACACCTCTAAATTAGCAAACAGTTTTATTCAAGCCCTTTGTTCACAGTTTCAGCAAACCTAAAAGGGAGTCAACATACAAGTAATTCAGTGGTCAGGACAACACAGAGGACAAGGACTCTCTGAAAGTAAATATTTAGAGAAGCACAGAATAGTTGGGGCTGGCAGGGACCTCTGGAGATCATCCCGTCCAACTTCCTGGCTCAAAGCAAGGTCAGCTAAAGCAGGCTGCTCAGGGACGGGTCTAATTGTTTTGAGTATCTCCAAGGATGGAGACTCCACACCACTCAGGGCAACCAGTTCCAGTCTTCAACCATCCTCACAGTAAGAAGTGAGGAGTTTCTTCAGCTCACAAAGGGCTTTCCTTTGTGTCCATTGATTCACTGCTACTGACTCAGTTCTATTTGATGCCTGCTGTCACCAAGGGATATGACATCACTCATGTCAGCAATGACATATAAGGCTACTGACCCATCTACAAGAATGGATGAATGGAGCACAGCTACATGATCAAAGGAAATCATTGTTCAATGGAACAGGAAAGCTGCATTAGGCATCTAATTACAGGCCTGGCAGGATCAACCTGATCAATGTTTACCACTCTGCACAGTGCACTCACTGCATATAATTGTGTGAAATTGCATTACTCAGCCTACAGCCTCCCTCAGGAGGAGGAAGGAAGGAAAAGGGGCCCAAGGCAACAGATTTCTATCAGCTGAAGTCTATGTATTGATACACAGGAGTGAGAGTGGATTGCTATCGGTGATTTCTGACCAAGCAATTTTTCTTCTTTGAAATCATGGCAAAGAACAACAAAATAAGATCTCTGCTCATTAGTCCCACCTACAACATCAGATTAATCCCCCAAGTACGTTATGAGAGAAATATGTGTTTCCCAAATCATCTTCACCACTGGCCACTGCGTATTGCCACCCACATTGCTCCTTACTGATCCAGAACCTGGATTCCCTGTTTGCAATAGTTTGGTTCCTCACGTCTTTTGAGCAAGCAAACGCCTGGGTACACTAACTGTGAATGCAACTGTTACCAGCTGATTTTCAGACTGACTGAGGGGATGCCTATCAGAGAGAGGCAAAAAAATCTGCAGTCATTCCCTCCACCAGTGTTTGGAGCAGACTCACAGCTTCTGTTCATGGGAAGACACTAGCAAAAAGCCCTCTACCTACTTCAGTAGCTAGCATAATGGGTATTTCAGTGCTAAATTTTAGGAGCTCCTTTTCATGACGATACATCTTTACTACTTTTTGTTGTTGAGATCCTGAATCCATGCAAACTTCTCTGCCATTTAGCACGGCCTGACAGATTGGGCAAAATGAGCTGTCTCAGCAACAAAGGATACCCTTTCTGGTGTTTAATATCCCTTTAAAAAAATTGCCTGGAGACAGAGAAGCCAAACGGTCTTTAATTTTAGACCGGGGGTATGCAAGGACATCAAAAAGAAGTGTTACTTACTAATAGCCCCCGTGTAGGTTGGCTGTGTAAGGTCTTTTGGCACCTTCCTGTAGATGTCAAACCTGAAAGAGGAAAACCAACAGCCATAAAACAGGTGGAACATTTCAATACATTTCATGTCCCCACAGGGACGAGCGATGCCGCAGTTTTTCCATCCAGCTTTCCAACAACGTTTTTTCAGTTCGCAGAAGGATATGAGAAGGGGAAACAAAACAAAATAAAAAATCCTTTTTCTTTTTTACAATTACATAACTGCGCTCCTTCTTGGCTCCAGTTTTCAAAGCGCTTCTCTCCACCTCCCTCCGCCTTGCTGTCATGGATCTATGCAATCTGAACTGTGAGAGGTGCCAGGGAAGAAGTCATGTTGGACAAGTTTATAGACCACCGTAAAAGGAAAAGGATATTCTACAGGCTCCTGATACTCTACAGACTCCTGAATAAAGACGCCTGGCACAAAAACAGTGAGACACAGCCTACATTGCCCCTTGTAGTTTGTATCCTGCAATAGCCAGAAATTGACAATATCAAAGTCAGAAATCAAGATGTTGAGACAAGAAACCTACCCTTGGACACTGGATACACAAGAGAAATTAACCCAAGAAGTTTGCTACCCCCCCAGCAAAATCTACTTTAATATTAGACTGTTGTTTTGATTCAGTCATATCTTTTAATATCCATATGGCTCAGCTTTACTATTTTAAACTCTCCATGGTTAAACTTTCACTGCCCTTATGATGTTAGCTGTATTATTTCCTACAACCTTGTGTTCCTGCATGTCCAGCCGCAATGCAGCTCTGACATCAGTTTTTCCACCACTCAATAAAAATTAATTAATGCATTAAAAACACACACACACCCTAAAGAAGGAAGTGACTGGTTCTACCCCCAAATGGACTTTTTTTGGATATACCACAAGTGGGTGAGATTTGATGTTTTTTCCAGCCCTTTAGAGGCATGAGACACACCAGCTTCCAAATTCCTATTCTATACTGCACCAAGATGAAACATCCCCATGTTTATTCAGTAGTTCCTACTAGATCAAATATTATAGAGTTTAAAAACTAGATCATCTTTCTTTTCTTCACTCTTCATCTGTTGAGATCACTTACAACTTGGAGGCACCCTGTGTGAACAAAACAGCATTTGCCTTGCACAAGACTAGAAGGACACTGTTGCTGTGTTTTATTCAGGAGTTGAAGCCA